TTGCTTATTTTGTGTTGTTGCATTACATAGTTTTTTTCCGGATTTTTTTGATGACTCGGTTTTTTTTTTTTTTTTTTGCTTTTTCGTACGGGGGCGTACAAGACGTACAGGTTCCCGTACAGGTTCCCGTACAAAAATAACCTGTACGTTTCGTACGGGAATCCCCCGTACGTGTACTCAATGCAACGTAGGCGTTGCTGTCATTCTCGTTTCTCAATTTCATCTTTATCTTTTCTTGTTGTGTTTTTCTTCCCTGGTCCTGTTCATACATAACAACCCCATAGCAACCCTCATACGCACACATTCCCTCCCACTCCCATTGCGAATTTGCAGGCTCATTCCCCAGAACCCGTGCTTGCCCCCATATGATTGGTAGTCCTCTCAGAGTGGTGGCATAGGCGGCAGTCCCATTATCCCCCAAAAACTTTGGTACATTGTCCCAGCACATAGGTACCCCATAAAGGCGGTCCCAAAATTGTCCCACAAAACTATGATACATTGTCCCAGGCTCCCAACCCCATAATAGTCCACCCAAGCAGTCACCCCATGCCCCAAAAAGAAAGAAGACTCAAAAACGAACAACCCCTGCAGTCATGATCACTTCCGCAGACAAGCGGTACAGAATTATGGTCAGCTGCCTGCCTTTCAAGTTGTCAATTCCCCTGTTTTCTTGTCCTGAGCCTCTTGCAACCATTGCTCCACCGGATCCCGGCTCAAAAACATGACCAGCCTCTGTTCCGGAAATGACCCTTTTATCCCAGTACCGTCAAGATCCTCAAGTTCAAAACAGACCACGTGCTTTCAAGAGCCGAGATCCTAACTAGTGTCATTTCCCCCACCTGGAGCGGCTCCTTCCGGATGTTCTTGACCTGGTCCCTCCTTGCTTTGTCCCTCACTCGGCTATCCATCACGCGCTTAACCACATCCTCCAAGGCTTCTTCATTTCTAACGACCTGTTGGCATCGTGCGACGATTAACTCCTCCGCAGACATGTGCGGATTGTCATCTAGCCTGTTCCACGTAGGAACCAAAGCTTCCACCGGGAAATCAATCTCTCTCTCATACCAGAGTTCTGTCGGAATGCATCTTGTCGTCCTCTTCGGCGTCATGCTATCTGAGAAGATCGCCTGCTCAATGTACCGAAGCCAGTTTCCCAGATCATCTGCCGCCAGCTTAGCGATTGTGTTTTTCAAGGTCTGGTTCCCCCTTTCTACAGGTGCATTGGCCTCAGGGTGGTATGGTTCGATGATCTTGATAGGTACATCAAGCATCTTGAGCCTGCTTAGCACTTCGTGATTTACGAACTCCGTCCCATTATCCACTATGAACCTTCGCACAAAGGGGTGCCTTAGGTAGAAGTCTTCTATCCAGTCGGCCACTCCCTTTTCCGTCTTTCTCTTAAGAGCTATTGCCTCTACGTAGTTGCTGAGGTTGTCTCTTACATCTAAGATGTACCTGTATCCTTTCGTCGATACGGGCATGACCGCAAGGTCAAGGTGGACCAGGTGCCCCGGCCCCAGTACCCGAGTAGGTCTAAGGGGCTCGAACACACGTGTGGAACTCCTTTCCTGATATATTAGACACGTTTGACTGTAGATAGCCACCATACCTGCCATACCTGGCCATAAGTAAAGTGGCGCAATTTTTGCAAGAGTCCCTTTCGATAACCGATACCCTCCGGCTAGCCCATCATGCATTGCCTGAATTATGTCCACCTGCCTAGACCTTCCACACACGACACGCCTAGGCATCATTCCCTCTTCCCTCTTGAACAGGTGACCGTTCCTTAAGACATACCTCTCGGCTTCCTCCCTTGCCTTGAGGCTGACTTCCATAGGCTGCTTGTTTCCTATAAGCAACAGACCGATTTCTCTGAAGATGCCATCATACATATGTACAAGGAAGAATTATTGTCCCTCCTGATTGGTATCTTGCTTTTCCTGAGCCTGACTCACTAGGTACTGCCGCTCCCTTCGCGTCCAAGTCTCTATTAGGCACATCACGACATTCCGGCCCCCTTCAACGGCCATTGCCATCAATTCCTCTTTCGGCCCCATCGTCGCTCCCCATGAATCCTTCTCATCTTTGCGTCTGACCGTGGTGACGAGTCCTTCCCTGCGTTCCGCAACTACGGTAGGCGCCCCTTTCTCCAGGGTCTGAATCAACAATTGTCCTGGTGTGCAAACGAGGCTCATCATCTCATTATCTGCAACGAGGGTTCCTCCTTCGTACTCTAGGAAGGCGTCGATTGGCTCCGCATCCTCTACTCTCTCCGGCGTGATGCAAACCCAACTTAGCCCGTCTGCCCTGTTTCGGAGCCCCGCAATTCGCTCGACCTTGTAGTCAAACTGCCAGATAAAGCCTATCCATCTCCCAATGGTCGGGTCTATAAGCTTGTAGTTCTTTAATGCCCGGACGACATTGGTCGAATCGATTCTCAGGATAAACCGTCTTCCAAATAGGTATGCCTGAAAGGTCTTGAGGCAATGTAGAATGGTTAAAACCTCTTTCTTGAACTGTGAGTATCGTCGCTCTGCCGAATTCAGGGTCCTACTTTCAAATCTGATAGGTTTTCCCTTGCCCTCCTCGCTTCCCTGTATCAGGACTCCTCCTACTGCCAATGGTCCTCCGTCTGTTTCCAGGATAAAGGGTCGTCCTACTTCATCATTTAAGCAGGGTGCTGCCAAAGTGACTTGATAGGAAACCAGGATGTCTTTGAGGGTCTGGACTGCTGCTTCCTTATCCTCGGTCCACTCCATAGTCCCTCCTTCCCTAATCATTGCGCGGATAGGCTCAGCTATTTTTGCAAAGCCTTTGATAAAGATCCTCAAGAATCCAACCACCCCTAGGAAGACTCGTACTTCCGTTGTGGTGCGCAAAGGTGTTGGCCATTGAAAGGTCTTATCCGTCTTGGCCGGGTCGGGCTTCCTCCCATAGGCCCCACAGCGAAACCCCGGTATGGTCACTTTTGGGACCACCAGGATGTTCTTTGGTCCGCTTGCGGTAATATTATATACCAGGAACCGCTGAAGTAGGTCCTTGATATCCTGTAGGTGATCCCAGACGAATTTTCGTATGCCCGGCTGGACCTCTGTCTCATCCTTGTTCTGCGCGCCTTTTATGGGATTGTCGTTTATGTACGGCTCGCATTTTTCCGGGAACATGTCCCCTGCGACTGCAAGCATCCTCCTCTGCGTCTCTGCCACAACGTTTGTAAAGCCCATAGGGGTCACTTACATTTGCAGCTGCCCTACCGGGGTGTGCATAGCAGTGTACGGTCTGTCCCTAGCGTCGAGTGGCAGTTGATCATATCCTGAATATAGATCTATCAAGGAATAAATGCTCCGGCCGGCGTGGGATTCTGCCAGTAGGCCGGCCTGTGGAAGCGATCCCGCATCCCGGATTGTTACCGCATTCATCCTGACGGGCGAGATTAGCTTTGCATCCAATCGACCTTTCTGGTGGTCATTGAAGGCAAAGGCTAAATGAAACTCTTGGCAGACTTTCCTTATCAGCTGGGTCTCTTCCACCGTTAGGAACCCATCTACCCCTATTTTCATGGTGTCTGCTACCTCATCAGGTATCCGATGCCCTTCCGCTGCTCGCCTCTCCCTGATTATCCACAAGATTTCTTCCTCCTTTTCCATGGCTTCTTCCCTTGATGTTTCTACTAGGATTGAAACCGGCTTGGCTTTCTTTCCTACCGGTTTGTATTTTCGCACACTCCCTTCTGGGATCGTTCTCCTAAAAAATGAACGGTCGGGATCAGCCTTGCCGCCTCCATGACGCGGGGTTGAAGACTGACTACCTTTCCGTTCAGACAATAGCCTTTTCGGACCTCATCTTCGAATTTGGCAAGCGTTGTCGGGTCCACCCCCACTTTGTGGTACCTGATAGCCTTAACGAGTTGTAACAAGTCTGGGATTTCGAGCACTACCTCCGGCGTTTCCTTCCGGCCTTCCTTTGACTTGGGGAGGCTGGCCCCAAGTTCGACTTCTGACTCCTTTTATGCCACCATAACCCCTAGAACCTCGTCCTCTTGCCTCCTTTTCTTCACAGGCAGACCCATTTTGATCCACTCCTTTTTGCTAAAGGCCTCATCAATCACGATCTCCACTCGTTCCCTCATACCTTCCATTCGGGCGAATACCTATTTTCGTGCACTATCTTCGAACGTCGGCGACCGGGTTTCCAACTTGCCCTTCGGAGGATCCCCTCCGGTCCCAAGGAGTCGGAGGAGTTCTCCGCGGCCGGTCACTGGGTCCTCTATATCCACCATGTACGTGCCATCATGCAGATGCATACCTATCATCTCTACGTTGGCGCACCATGACTCCCGAGAATTATGTTATGATCTATTTCTTCCATCACGGTCATCCGCCGGAAAGACCAGATCGATTCCTTGATCCCCGCCTTGACTTCACATTTCGTGATGTACCCTACAAAGGGAATTTCCCCGCCGGCTCCCCGGATATTCCCCATCACCTCCTTGTTTACCGTACAGCCCGTAATTGTTGCGAAGTCGCGTCGTATGAGGGTAATTTCCGCACCACCGTCCACTAATGCATCTGTGCATTGGGTTCCAATTTGGACTTTTAACTTTTCTACGGATATGCATGGAAGCGAAGCTTCATCCCGGGCGGTGCCCTCATGACTTTGCCACCTTCTCGATCTGGTAGGCTTAAGCGGATGTCTGCAAAAGCTTTTTCCAGGTCCTCTAGATCCCCTGGAATTCTCTGGAGGTTGGAGACCCCTTGCGGTGCCTCAGCCTCCTCCGTTTCCTGCTCTTGTGGTTTCGGGGCCTCCTCTACATCTACGCGTCGGCGCGTTAGTAATTGTCTGAGTCTTTGAAGCAATCTCGGGCTCGCTTGCAACATAGTTTGAAAGGATACAAATATCATGGTACCTAGCAGTTTGCTCAGGGTATCGTCGATTTCTGGCATAGTTAGGATCGGAATTTGGTACCTGAATTTCTTCTTTGCCGCCACTGTTTTGTCTATCGGCTCTTCTTCCCTTGCTTTTCCGTAGATTTTCTCCGGCTCCCCGGTCTCAGTTTCACCTTGATTTATGCTTAGTCCCCGCGACCTCTTCCATTACCGTATTTCGAATAAGTTTATTTTTCGCCCCTGCCCGCCGGGTGGTGACGTTCACCCTATCCTGTCCATTACCTTCTAGGATAAAATTGACTTGTGGTCCGCGTCCCCTCGGTTGGTCCCAAACAATGTCAGCTACCGGCTCGGCTTCTACGACAGCTATATCCAGGTTATTCAAGATGATGACGGCACGCCGCATCCCTCCTGGCGAATTTCAGTTTATGCGCTTTCCCTGAGGCCCGAAAATTTCACCTTTAAGGGACCTGCTGCATCTTTGCCTCATAATATCATGGTTGAGTCTTGGGCAGGTCCGCACGAAATGTCCGATCATTGTGCAATACTTGCATTGCTCATTGGCCGGATCCCTCCAGCCATACCCTCGATTCGCTACTGCCGCCGGAACTACGGCCTCTTGGGGCGGGAGGGCGGGTCGGGATACTTGCGCCTGCATTAAGAGTAACACATTTTTCACTCTTTCTATCTTGTTATCAACCCCGTGCACTCGTTCATGCAGGTTTTTTATCCCCTTCTTGACCTTATCCCTTGTTTTCCCGGTCAGGTCTATAACCTCTCCTTCCTTAAGCAGGGCTAACGTCTCGGTCATCACTGTCTTTTCTGCGAGGTCTGTTATTATGCTGAAATCCACATCCCTTGTGTACTCAAACTTATTAGTCTTCTGGTAGGCTGATAGAATCTTATCTTTGTCGAACTCAGAGAACTGCCTGAGGAAATACCTGCTCATTATTCGGTCTGTTACCCCGGGAATCCGTAACGCCACTAGGGTAAATGCCCTCAGGAAGTCATCGTAAGTCGCATAGTTCTTCCTTTGGACCGCTGCCAACTCATCTTCTGTTGCCATTTTCTCTGCCTTCAGGTATTTTCTCATCATCTCGTTCCGGGTCTCTTTCCAGGATCCACTAGAGGCGACGATGGTCATAATGTCCCTTCCTAAGCTTAGCGACACATGCTGCCCTACGTGGTCCATCTTTTCTTCCTCACTCCATTTCAACAAGGCTGCCAGGTTCTCGTAGTCTATCAGGAACTCCGTAATGTTCGCCCCGTCGAAAGTGAGTTTCTTCTTGGCATCCGCAAGATACCCCTGATTTTTATTCAGAGTCCGAGTGAGGGTGGCTACTATCCTCTTGAGACCCCCCTCAGAGCTACCCGCTTCATCGACCGCACTGGTCCTTTCTCCTTCCTTGTTATCCCTCTGCTTTTCCCCGGCCTTTGGCGTACCCTCCAGATCAAACCATCCTAACACCCTTTCTCTGAGACTCTAAAGTCCGTCGCACCCCTTCGTTACTTTTGGCGTGGCGGGCAAACGACTAGCACCACTGTCCATAGCAGGTGGGGTCGTAGCCTTTTCTGCCTCTACGGCCGGGGAGTCCCCCTTTTCCTTCCCTTTCTTGTTGGGTGTTCCCCTATGTTTATTATCCTTCCATCTGTGTCTGACTTTGCCCTGGCTGGCCCTGCGTTCCTCTCGTGACCCTTCTCCCAGAAGGTCTCTTTCGTTCCCAACCATCATCTCTTCAATAAGCCTTGCCTTATACTCGGCAGTTCGCTTGCGTGCGCCCGAGATTTTCGTTTTCTTGGGCGTGGTCCCCTCCGAGTTTCGAGGACTCGACCTGCCGTTGTCCCTTCCTTCCTTATTTTCCTGGGGTCCTCTTTTGCTTTCCCCGGCTTTCCCCGAGCTTTCCCCTGTCGAAAGGTCCTTTCCGTCTTCCCTGGTCCCTTCTAGTTTTGCTGACTCTCGGTCCCTTATCGACCCTTCGTTCCGTTCCACACCCCTATCCGTGCCCTGACTCCCTTTGCTCCACAGTCCTTCGCCCTCTTCCTATGACGCCATTCCTTTACCTACCCTGCACATGGAGAATTTTTTTTGCGAAACGGCTGGTTGTTCATAGCTTCCCTAGCACCCGGGCCCTAAGATCCCCCCTCATTTTCGCTTATTTCTATGTTTTTTCGTCTTATATTAGTCGGGACGACCCACCTGACTTTCTCCTACAGGGTGTCGTTGTATCTTTCTTCTGCCGGAAGGCTCGCTGCCGAGGTTTGGCATTCCGTTACTACCATGCCCCAGTTCTTAGGGCGGCGTCCGAGGCTAGCGGCTTCTCCTTTCGGGAATAGCCCTTTTGACTTCCTGACACCTGGACGCCCCAGCGTCCTCAGCGCGGGTGGTCTTCCCAGTTCCTTCCTGCCACGTCCTCAGGTAAGGCGGAACTCCGACCACTACCCCCTTGTCGACGGCTAGTTTCTCATTGCAATTCCCAGCCTTTACTTTTTCCCTACCTTTCCTCGGTACTTTTTCTCACGCTGGTCCCTCAGGCCTATCTCGTTCGTTAGGTTCTTCGAACAGATTAACCACTCCCGCAAGGTAGTTTTCGCCCATTTCTATCTCTCTGGCGATTATTGGTTCATATTCCTCAAACGCCAGGCGTGGTAACCCATATATCAAGATTTCGATGAGTTCAAGTAATTCACAAGCCTGGTTTCCCCCAAACGGTCCGTGCCTAACCGACACATCATAAAACATTCTCGTCGTCTGTGGCCGGAAGTGGTGGATCCAGACCAAGGTCGAGTCCACCAGGTCCCTTGCCCTTGAGAGACTGCCAAAAACCAGGTCCACCATGAAACGAGGCACTCAGCACCGCAATCCCGTCATCGGGGCTCTAAACTCTCGCCATCCTCCTACCTCTACCCGGGTTCTCAGTCCCACATTTCTTCTCCCTCGCACCTCCTGGCCTATCGGTAGCAGCCCATGCCCTAGTGCCAACTCCGTTCCTAGCATGAGCCATCCAATCTCCGGCAGGTATACGGTTTCTCTCACCTTCAAGTCGGTATACAGGTCGTCCCCCGGCCCCCTATTGAACCTCATACCGTTCCACAAACATTCTACCATCATAAACGTTTGGTCCCTTCCCAAGGTCACAACTCTACATTCGGTGTCAATCTCTCGGACCATGTAGCTTGCCGGGAGCGATACCTCCCATCCGTCTTCACTTTCCGTGGGTGGCCGAGGGTGTGTGGGCCGTCGCGACATCCGGGCGCGTCTCATCATCATTGTTGATTAGCGGTCCCCTGCACAATTTAAACAACAAGCGAGCTTTACTTATTTCATTCGTTCTTCGACCCTCACCTGGGCAACCTCCCAGTCCTTAACTCGATATCCTTTTCTTTTTTTTTATTCCCCTCTCCTTTCTTGTCCCTTTTATCGACCCGTCCCTACTTCCGTCGGCTCATACAGGCGGTACAGGTCATCTACGTAAGTCATTCCCCGACTTACCTCTCGTCGAACAACGCCCCATAGAACCTCGTCGCTAACAACCGGAGCTCTAGGCTTGGTGGTAAATACGGCGCGCAAGATTCGCAGTACCTCATACCTCTGTTCACCATTGAATGGTCCCATTTCAAGGAAGACCCGGTAATATTCCTGGTGGACCATCGCTTCCTCTAATGTCAGGTAGGTGAGGTCGGCCACTGCCCGCCTGACAAGCTCCAGCCCGCCTAGCTGTTCTAGTAAGAAGGGCGGCAACCTCATCCGGACGTTCTCACTAGGCAGGTTGAATCTCCCAGCCATAGCTACCCTAAGGTTTGTCGTTACATCATCGAACTCCTGGTCAGCGAACTCGAACCCCGCTTGCCACACTAGCTGCCATGCCCCCTCAAACAGGCTTACCGGATCTTCACCTGATGCTAACAGGACTCCGAACGCGCGCCATCCATCCTCCGACATATACAACCACCCCTCTGCGTGCACATATCCCCGTGGGTGCAGGTTCCACTCGCCATCTTCATCTGCCCTCCACTCAACCTTGGTCAATAAGTAAACTGTATTTTCCATAAGCTCGATCCCGATCCAATCCGTCACTGGTCGTCGGACCTCATTCGCCGTGGGTAGGCTGATTTCCACACCGCCAGCCACTTCCATCGGCGGCTCAATTCCCAGTGGGTGATTCTCGAGGAATGTCCTCCGTCGTGCTATCGCGCGCCCTTTGCTTGCCTTCAATTCTTTACCCCACGGTCAGCAGCAACCCCTACAATAGCCAGACATCCCGTCCCTTATCTTAGTATTCCTTTACTCGGTTGACCCTGCATGGTGCTCATCTCCTCCCATCTATGCTTCCCCTTAATTTTTCCCTCTCCCTCTTCTTTTCTCCCTTTACCCCCTAACTTACCCCACTAGCCCGGATTTTTCTTGCTCTTAATCAAACCACAATACTTCGAACAGTTTAAACACATCATCCACATAGCATGGTGTCGCTGCTACCTCTCGGCGGATTATGGCGTCCCTGACCTCTGGGGTCACTTCTAGTCGATCGTTCCTGTCTATATCTAAAATAATGAGGACCTCCCAGACTATGTCCCCGTGGAAGGGCCAAAATTTCAGCGATGTCTTATAAAATTCTTCTGTCAGCCATGCACAATTTATGTGTATCCGCCCCATAGTGCCGGCCACTTCTGCGACGTGATGAAAACCCCCAAACCAGTCTGCCACGAACTCGGGTACCCAAGTCTTGGTTCGTAGACAGGGAGGCCTAAACTCCTTCCACCCTCCCATCACGACCTTACTACGGACCACATCCCACCCTTTGTTGGCAAAACTCTCGCCTGCCTTTCGAGCCCTTGCTTCCGCATCCCCCAGAAGCCACATCGGACTTTGTCCTGCTGCGAGCATGGTGCAAAATAAGTGTCATCCCCGCTCATAGAGGATGACTGTCCCGACCGATTCCACCCTACCTTCCGCAATCTCCTCCCATCCTTCCTCTTCCCTTAACGGGTTCCAGATGCGTTCTACCCAGAGGTACGACAACTCCGGCACAATCTCAAATCCAACCCAGTCACACGTGGCTCCTCTCTATTCATTATCCGCTGGCATAGACATCTCTAACCCCCCCTTAGCTCGCCTCGGCTCCCATCCTCTGAACGTGCAGTCCCGTACCTGGAGTTCTCTAGCCATTGCTTCCTTCCTGCACATAGCCGGCCACCCATTTTTTCGTGTAAGCCCCTCTCTCAGAAGTCCCAGTCTTCTATCTCGTCATCGTCCTCAGCATCGCTGAAATCATCCTCTTCATCGAAGAACAAGTCCTTCAGTCCCTCTAGGAAGGTCTCCCCTACTGCCACATTACGATAAATTATCTGCCAATGCACTGGGCTAGGGACAAAGACGTCATCCGTGCTAAGGAGGTTCAATATATCTGCTAACTCCTCCGCCCAGTTCCCTCCGAACGACCCTACTTCTACTGACAGTCTGAAGAAGTCCTGTCGTGCGCACTGGTACAGCCTGAAGTTTGTCATTGACCGATATATTTGTTCTAACCTGTCCCTCGTTCCAAAGACCGCATCCACCAGAAATGGGGGTAGCACACATCTCATTGCCCTACGAGGCCGCCTCATATTTCCTCTATCCCCGAGCTCCACTCGCACCTCCACTTTGTTCATTCCATTTCCTCCCGCTGACACGCTGCCCATACCACTTCTCGTTCCGCTTGTCTAAACAACGAGTCCGGTGCCGTCCCCAGTACTAATTTTATTACCATTGCATTTTCCCTTTCCTGCGACAAGTAGACCCACCCCCGGGCTTCCATCGTCCCCAAGAATTCCAAGTCTATCAAGCTCGGCGACAGTCTCATCAGGCTGACCTTAGTCCATATCGTCTCTATCTAGAGAAACACGTCCTTTTCGTCCAGCATCACAGTTTGATAGGCTGGTTCCAGGTCCGTCCACGTTCCTTCTTCCGGGAGGACGACCAATACCCCGCCCCTTACATCTATTGGCATTTTCGGACCACTAGAATAGACTGGAGATGACAACCACCGCGCCATCTCGTTTTTCCGGTCTCGGTCCCTGCTTTCAGGAGACAGCACCACACGGCCCCCCTGGTCAGGCTAGCACCCCCCTTAATTGTAGATGATCATTATTTCAGACCCCTCATCCGGGTCTTCGTAATTTTCCCTGCCCATTTCCCGAGCACCATTATCCCTATTGTACTCCCAATTGGTCATCACCAGCCGGTCTTCTTTTTCTTGGTTCCATTTCCTTCCGACTCTCATCCTGGCTCTTTTCCATCTTCTCTCACTCGTGCAGACTTAGATAGGGGCAAAAATAGACGCAGAAAGCTTGATCTCTTCCCAATAGTCTTCAGACAACCTTTACAGAGGGGGGCACAAAAGGAAAAAAAGAATCAGGCAATCCTCGCATATAGGCCGGTCATCTCCTCACCGACCTTTTCCCAAAGTGGTCTCTCCACTGTTACTATCGGCAGAGTTTTATCCTGTACCTCAAGCACAGCTCAACCGTCGCGGGCGCGGTACCCAGACTCCAGTGGGGGGACACCCTCACCTTCTTGCCCAGAATACCCCATCCCATCTTGCCGCTCTTATACACCCCCGTTGGCACCGGGAATTACCCCGCGTACTCGGTGAGGACAAAAATCGGTCGTCTGGGCATTCACATCCATCGGTCCGATAAGAATCAGCCTTTCCCGAATCGTACTGCGAGAGGCTACTAATCGCCTCCGAAGCTCCCTCCGTGCCCCACATGCAGTGGTCCTCCTGCCGTCTGCCGACAAGCAGCCGCCTCGCCTGAGAGACGTTTCACACCCGCGCCTGGGTAAGGTCACGAGCAATGCTCGACCCGCCCAGGATCAACCGACGAGACCAACTCCTGCCTGACAGTCCGGTGGCCCAACCCCCGCATATGAAATCCCGGTGGCCTACCCGAAGAAACGACGTTTCGCAACCCGCACCGGCCGGTGCAGACCCACTCTTTCCTTCCGAAATGGCAGCACGCTCAATTCCTCTTTCAAGCAATCACAAGTCCCAAGTAGGACACACATAATACAAGTGCTTTCCCTTTGTGCGCCCAGCGCTTCCTACCCATATCTCACAACTTTTCTCTCAGGACTGTGTGTGTCGCTCCCCTTACTTCCATACACAGTGGTTGGTTCCTTTTCGTGAGCATCTTCGAGGGTGAGCTAGTTTTCCTTGGAGTCTAGCAACTCCCTTCATTCCCTTATCTTCCTTTGTCTGTCCGTTCATAGGGCAGGATTGCTCCTTCTCGATTACCATTTTGTTCATATGAGGTTCCTTCAGGCATTTCAAGTGGAAGTGCAAGGAGCCCGTTGGGCTCCGAAGAAGAGAGAAGAAGGCACCCATGTCGGTCGGATCGCTCCGCCGGGGGATTTTCATTGGAACCCGGCCTAGGCCGAGCACCGCCTGTCAGGTAACCGGAGCCCTTCTTTCACACGAATAGGAAGGGTCGACCTGCGACTTGCCCAAGGCTTCCCCGGACTGACGAACATCAGTCTGAAGGAAGGAGGACTAGAGTCACCTCCCAAGGAGGCGGCTAATCAAGTGCGTAGCATGCATGTTATCCCTCCAGGCCTGGCCTTGCCATGCGCCCACCCGCCCTCAAATCTGATTCTCTCAAGGGAATAGAGCATACACAAGTCCTCGCTCAGTATCTTAATGTTGTGTTCGCGTTCATGCGTCAGGCGCCCCCCTCGAGATCGTATGGGTCAGTTTAACCCATGCCCGTCACCTCCATCATTTTTGTAGCAGTCGTACTCTAAAGAACTTTCGAGCCTGGGTCGACCCCATTGCGGGTTCCTTTTGGCTCGACCCGCCCACGCTCAAGCTCAGGGCGTGGGTCGTTCGTCCCAGGGGCACCCCCACCTAGTGCTATGAGATGGATGGGGATTGGCCTTTTGCGAGAGGGCTTTACATTGGGGGTGTAGCTCCGCTCTCGTACTAGATGGTAGCCTTTCCGACACTCGTGGCATTTTCTTGATTCAACTTAGGTGTGACCAGGCAATTGCTCCTTCCAATACGCAAGCAGTCTAGGGAGTTTTATTGAAGGTTCGTCTTCTTTCGTGTGTAGGCGAAGCGTCATCCATTGGGCCACACACCTTTTTACTAGGCGCAGCAATTCCGGACGGTTCCTACGGCATCCTCGGGGGGGGGGGCGGTGGTGCCATCCATCCCCTAGCCTCCATGCACATTTTTTTTTTGCCTAGCACATGCATTCTATTCACATGTCCATCGGCCGCCCTTAGTCCTTTCGGGCTTCCATATTGCATGCAAAGATCAAGACACACATTCCACATGCTGAGTCGCACCCTTCCCGCGTTCCAAGTTTACATTAGGCCTACGGTCCTCCCATTCCAATCGCTCGCGTCTTTTCCGAGTCTTGTCCCACTCAAACCATCCTAAGCTACTCACCTGCGCAAGACCACACAAAGCAAAGACCAAGTACGATCCCCATTGGGGTAAACACATCGCCTCTCCCACAATCTAGGTTCCTTGCTCTTCCAATGACCCTTTTGGTTCTTTTTCCCTCCGTTCAAGCAAGCCATGCCTTCTCCTTAGTCATGCAGTCGGGGGAAATGGTTGAGGTAGACTAACCTTGTCTCAAGCCTTTACTTTCACAGATCTTCCAAAAGAACCTTCCCTTCCAAGTTTCCACAAAGGTCCCGTTTTTTTCCTTCTTGGTGGCACAAGGGACCGACAGCCCTCCCCTTGCCCTCTCTCTCCCCCAAGTGAGGACCAAGTTCATTTGTCGTTCGTTCCCTGACAATGTAACAAGTGAGGTGAAAGGTTAATCACGTGCCAAGAAGCGGGAGGAAGAGGGAAAAAAGGGATAAAGGTCAAGCGCATAGGGAGAGAACGAAGGAGGGAGAGAGAGAGCGAGAGAGAGAGAGAGAGAGAGAGAGAGAGAGAGAGAGAGAGAGAGAGAGAGAGAGAGAGAGAGAGAGAGAGAGAGA